GGTATTCATTTTTTTTTTGTTTTTTGGCGAAATTTTCTTTTAAATGAGGCTCTCACACTCACACACTTTTTTCGGGTATCTATAAGATGCTTTTTTTTCACATTCACATACATACACACATATACACCATACGTATTATGATGGTGTATGTTTGTCGGCGACACACTCACTTTTACATACATTCAGATAGAACGACACACGCACATACCGCGTATATATGTATGTATAGGGGCACCATGTGCAAGGAAAATTCGATGGTGGTGTCACAGAATTTTTCACAATATTTTTAGGTTGTTGTTGTATTATTTTTTCTTTAAGATTTTTATTTGATTTACATTTTTCTTTAGAGGAATTTCCAAACTTATTTTTTTATGTGTGGGCTTTAGCCGAACTTTTGCACTATCCCGAAAGGAAAGGAAAAACAAATACGAAAAGTTTTCCTTGGCCAAAGATGTTTTCGTTTTGGTCACGGCCGCCGCGGAAGAAAATTTTGTTAAACAAATACAAAAAACACAACAAATTCGACAATGACGACCGACAACAACAACAGCAGCAGCACCAATTCACATCGAAAAATCCGACCAGAAGATGTTTTATTTTTGTATACAAAATTTTTTATTTTGGTCGACGACGACGAATGAGACGCGTGCGAACTATTTGTTGTGCATGGTTCCAAAAAACCTGAAGGCGACTGACTAACCGACAGAAACACCAAACTGAAAAAACAAAAATTAACACGGCCGGGTGATGTTGATGTTTGTCATTACCCAAACGTGAGAGTGGTGCAAACGAGCGAACGAATGTAGTGAGTGAGTTGACGGAGTGGTGTTATTTCACCAAAAAACTGTTTGTTTGTTAGCTTGTTGTGTTTTCTAAAATATTCTTCTCTATTGTTGTTGTTATTTGTGTTATTTTGACCCGACGCTAATACCGCCGCCGAACTTTCTTCTTATTGGACTAAACCAACCAACCGTTTCGCTGTGTTTGACTTAACTAAGGCGATGGAATCAAACCAAAATTGTATCTGCCAGATACATTTGCAGCTACCTTTCTTTTTCTCGTCGCGTATGCGTGCGTCGTCTCTCTGTGAGTGTCTCATTTTCGTTTCGTTTCAGTTTCGTTTATGCGAAATGCGAAAAAATAACAAAACAAATAACAACACTTATACGCCGCCTTTGGCATTGCAATTGCGGATTTGATTGACACGCTCTCTGTATGTCTCACAGATACATTTTTGGGGAGTACCATAACGTAACATTACATTACAATACAGTGAAGGGCATAAGTGTTCGTAAGGGGAAATATGGTTGCCAATGTATTCAGATGCATAAGGCTTGGATTTTTTAAATAATATTTTTTCAGGGCCTACATAAGGAGTGCATTTTTTAAAGAATATTATTTCAAGGGTCTATATAAGACGTGGATTTTTTAAAGAATATTTTGACAGGGTCTACATAAGGCGTAGATTTTCCAATCCAAGAATATTTTTTCAGGGTCTACATAAGGCGTAGATTTTCCAATCCAAGAATATTTTTTCAGGGTCTACATAAGGCGTAGATTTTTCAATCCAAGAATATTTTTTCAGGGTCTACATAAGGCGTAGATTTTCCAATCCAAGAATATTTTTTCAGGGTCTACATAAGAATACTTTTCAGTATTCTTTTTAAAGAATATTTTTTCAGAGCCTACACAAGGCGTAGGTTTTTAAAGAATATTTTTGCAGGGTCTACATAAGGCGTAGATTTTCCAATCCAATATTTGGATGAAACACAAAGTTTACATACCTTAATAAGCCATAGGTCTGAGGGTATAGAACATTTTACTGTTTTTGGTACTTCCAGCATTTCATAGCTGGCGCCCAACGTGTATAACATCCCGTCAAAATTTTGGACCCCAATGTTAAACTGACACTTGTTGGTACATCCAGCATTGGTGTTTGTTTCCCCTACAACAAAATGGGAAATATTTTAGGCCGATTGGTGCAGATTTTTTCTAATATACTAAATACTTAAATGACTTCAGATAGTCGTGCAATAGGGCCCCAACTTTAACATGAAGTGCAATGATACGACGTATTGAATTCATGACAGCAATGTCTCATAAGTAGTGTCCAAAGTTTATAACATACCGCTAATATTTGTTATTTGGCGCCCAACGTTAAACAGAAGTACAGTTTAGTGAGCAAGTTATTCGGTAGCCGGATTTCTGAGCAAGTTATATTTTCTGGATTTCGAAAAATATTTGAATGGTATAATTTTATCCTTAGATTGCCGAATACGACACGAATATCCGTTTTCTTGCATCTCTAATGTCAGTATTGACAAATAAGGACCCGAAACTAATCTTTAAAAAACCCACGCCTTGTAAAGGTCTCGATAAACTAATCTTTAGAAAACCCACGCCTTGTAAAGGTCTCGATAAACTAATCTTTAAAAAACCCACGCCTTGTAAAGGTCTCGATAAACTAATCTTTAAAAAACCCACGCCTTGTAAAGGTCTCGAAAAAGTAATCTTTAAAAAATCCACGCCTTGTATAGGTCTCGAAAAACTAATCTTTAAATAAAAGAGATGGCAACCTTGTTCCCATCTTTCATTAATGAAACACAAGTGTTTCCTCATTTTCAACTTGGCGCAAACTCATGTTGCATTCCTCTGTTGCTTTTATATTATTTGCCACTCTCCCCCGCAGCATTTCAATTCCATTAACAAACATTTCTTCTCACACGAAATGTATCTTCTCTCGCCAATTTATCTATTTCTCTCAGCATATGTTTTTGTTTTGAAACTTGTGTAGAATTGTGCAACAAGAAAAGGAAGAAGAACAAGCCAATAAACACCCCCAAAATAAACGAACTTTCAGTTCCACTTTTCATGTTTCAAAAATGAAAAATAAAACAATTTTTGAATTGACATTTCACTGGTGGTTGCTGTGGGAAACTGATGCTCTCTGTTTTCTCTCTCCTTATCTGTTGGGCGCTCACTAATTTTATGACATATGTTAATTTGTTGACTTTTGTTTTTTGTTGTTTATTTTTTGGAGTTTCGTTGATAGTTGTGACATAAAATGGAAACTCAACCAGCTGGAATGCCGCCCATGCCATCCATGGTATAATATCTGGTCAAGTGGCCTCTGCCAGCCATATGGAGGGCGGATATTCTTGTTGGGCTAATTAATTCATTCACATGTTTATGAATGAATTTCAATTGACTGATTTTCTCATTAATGGAATTCAAAAATTTTATTAAGCGTAACGGTATTTCGATGTGGCAGCAATGCAACTCGGATAGGTGAATTAAAGGTTTTTTTTAAATTACTTTTTCGGGACCTATACAAGGCGTGGATTTTTTAAAGATTACTTTTTCAGGACCTATACAAGGCGTCGATTTTTTAAAGATTACTTTTTTGGTGGACACGCTGCAGCAGAGAGGTGTAGATGACGTCGAATTGCACCTGATGTTACCGTAGACCAGCTACGGCGATTTTTGTGGCATCTTCGATACCTAAAATTAACGGAGGAGATATTAGAAACAAAAATACCAATTAAAAAATAGTTTTTTTCAATTCACGACAAGGCGTGGATTTTTAAAAAATATATTTTTTCAATTCTCCACAAGATTACTTTTTAGGGACCTATACAATGCGTGGATTTTTTAAAGATTACTTTTTCGGGACCTATACAAGGCGTGGATTTTTTAAAGATTACTTTTTAGGGACCTATACAAGGCGTGGATTTTTTAAAGATTACTTTTTAGGGACCTATACAAGGCGTGGATTTTTTAAACATTACTTTTTCGGGACCTATACAAGGCGTGGATTTTTTAAACATTACTTTTTCGGGACATATACAAGGCGTGGATTTTTTAAACATTACTTTTTCGGGACCTATACAAGGCGTGGATTTTTTAAACATTACTTTTTCGGGACCTATACAAGGCGTGGATTTTTTAAACATTACTTTTTCGGGACCTATACAAGGCGTGGATTTTTTAAACATTACTTTTTCGGGACCTATACAAGGCGTGGATTTTTTAAACATTACTTTTTCGGGACCTATACAAGGCGTGGATTTTTTAAACATTACTTTTTCGGGACCTATACAAGGCGTGGATTTTTTAAACATTACTTTTTCGGGACCTATACAAGGCGTGGATTTTTTAAACATTACTTTTTCGGGACCTATACAAGGCGTGGATTTTTTAAACATTACTTTTTCGGGACCTATACAAGGCGTGGATTTTTTAAACATTACTTTTTCGGGACCTATACAAGGCGTGGATTTTTTAAACATTACTTTTTCGGGACCTATACAAGGCGTGGATTTTTTAAACATTACTTTTTCGGGACCTATACAAGGCGTGGATTTTTTAAACATTACTTTTTCGGGACCTATACAAGGCGTGGATTTTTTAAACATTACTTTTTCGGGACCTATACAAGGCGTGGATTTTTTAAACATTACTTTTTCGGGACCTATACAAGGCGTGGATTTTTTAAACATTACTTTTTCGGGACCTATACAAGGCGTGGATTTTTTAAACATTACTTTTTCGGGACCTATACAAGGCGTGGATTTTTTAAACATTACTTTTTCGGGACCTATACAAGGCGTGGATTTTTTAAACATTACTTTTTCGGGACCTATACAAGGCGTGGATTTTTTAAACATTACTTTTTCGGGACCTATACAAGGCGTGGATTTTTTAAACATTACTTTTTCGGGACCTATACAAGGCGTGGATTTTTTAAACATTACTTTTTCGGGACCTATACAAGGCGTGGATTTTTTAAACATTACTTTTTCGGGACCTATACAAGGCGTGGATTTTTTAAACATTACTTTTTCGGGACCTATACAAGGCGTGGATTTTTTAAAGATTACTTTTTCTAAGGCTCTAAAAGTTTTCTGATGTAAATCTGTGTTTTTTATTTGAAAAATGTTATTTGTACAATAAAAATGAATAAATAAAACAAAAACAATATTATATAATATTTATAATTAGTATCGTAAATCAGTCATACAAGAAATTTAATTTCCAATTGCGGCCACTTTTTCTGTTTCCTTCTTAACATAATCGGCATCGGCCAGATATTGAATATTACCCACACGTTGACCGGTCACCATGTCATATTCGAAAACACACGGTACGCTATTGGGTATATTCACTTTCATGATATTGTCATCGGATATACCTGAAAAGGTATTAAATATTTAAAAAAAAATCAAAATATGTATTAATTTCCCATACTTTCAATGTATTTCATTAAGGCCCGCACCACAGTACCATGAGCCACAACCAGCACCCTCTGACCGCTTAAAACTTTTGGCATTATTTCCTGTTCCCAAAGGGGTATGGCCCGCAGCATCAACGTTTTCAATGATTCCGTATCGGGAAATTTGTCCTTTGGTATATCTTTAAATTTGGGATTGTTACGTATTTTGGCATAGTAGGGATTTTCGGGAGTAATTTCGGGGGGCAGTACATCGAATGAACGACGCCAAATTTGTACCTTTAAGGGATTAATCATTTCTTTTTTAATTATTATCCATTTGTATTAGGGTGTTTCGGGACTTACTTTCTCTTCACCATATTTATTGGCCACTTGACGTTTATTGAACCCTGTCAGATTGCCATAATGTCGCTCATTTAAACGCCAGTCATAGATCACGGGAACATCGTTGTATTTCAAATTCTCTCGTATAACATCGACAGTTTGGTGGGCACGCTGCAGGAGAGAGGTGTAGATGATGTCGAATTGCATCTGATGTTGTCGTAGACCAGCTACGGCGATTTTTGTGGCATCTTCGATACCTAAAATAAGGGGAAGGGAAATTGGTAAAAAGAATATTTTTTCAATTCTCCCGAAGGCGTGGATTTTTAAAAAAATATCTTTTCAATTCTCCACAAGGCGTGAATTTTTAAAAGAATATTTTTTTAAGGCCACAACAAGGCGTGCGTTTTTAAAAAAATATTTTTTCAATTCTCCACAAGGCTTGGATTTTTAAAATAATATTTTTCAAGGCCACAACAAGGCGTGGGTTTTTAAAAGAATATTTTTTTTTCAATTCTCCACAAGATGTTGGATTTTTTTCTTACCTTTTTCCGTCAGTGGAGCATCATGCCAACCGCAGAATAGATTCAATTTATTGAATTCACTTTCGCCATGGCGTAAAATCACCACTTTATTTGTTTTCATTGTTGTTGTTGCGGTTCTTGTTGCCTTTTTGTTAAATTTCCTTGATTACGCTTCCGATTGGTTGGTCCGCTGTGACAAATGGTCGGTTGAGGTCCGGAAAATAAATGTAATGTTGTTGTAATTGTACTTCAGGTTACTTATTTGTTGTTGGTGCCTTTTCTGTGTGTGCTGTGTCGCTTTGTTGTACTGACAGTTGCGGCAAACGTTTGAAAACTAAAATGAAAATAAAGATGGCAAAAGAACGTTAGTTTCGAAAAAAGAAAAGAAAAAACGATCATAGACACAAAGAAAACAAAGGAGGCGAAGAAAGTTTTGAAGTGCAAATGTGAACAAAATAATTGAATATGACACATATGTATATGTATGTAAATACATATTTACATGCACCGATATTGATTGCAAACAACTAAACACACATATGTATGTATGTGCATAGATGGTAAACTAATGACACCTAAAGATGTGATTTGTACGAGGGATGGAGCAGGAAGTTGAGATAGGCGTGGATTTTTTAAAGAATACTTTTTCAGGGTCCATACAAGGCGTGGATTTATTAAGGAATACTATTTCGGGGTCCATACAAGGCGTGGATTTGTTAAAAAATACTTTTTCAGGTTCCATACAAGGCGTGGATTTATTAAAGAATACTTTTTCAGGACCTACACAAGGCGTGGATTTATTAAAAAATACTTTTTCAGGGTCCATACAAGGCGTGGATTTATTAAAGAATACTTTTTCAGGGTCCATACAAGGCGTGGATTTATTAAAGAATACTTTTTCAGGGTCCATACAAGGCGTGGATTTATTAAAGAATATTTTTTCAGGGTCCATACAAGGCGTGGATTTATTAAAGAATACTTTTTCAGGGTCCATACAAGGCGTGGATTTATTAAAAAATACTTTTTCAGGGGATTTTCTAAGGAATAATATTTCAGGGTCCATACAAGGCGTGGATTTTCTAAGGAATAATATTTCAGGGTCCATACAAGGCGTGGATTTTCTAAGGAATAATATTTCAGGGTCCATACAAGGCGTGGATTTTCTAAGGAATAATATTTCAGGGTCCATACAAGGCGTGGATTTTCTAAGGAATAATATTTCAGGGTCCATACAAGGCGTGGATTTTCTAAGGAATAATATTTCAGGGTCCATACAAGGCGTGGATTTTCTAAGGAATAATATTTCAGGGTCCATACAAGGCGTGGATTTTCTAAGGAATAATATTTCAGGGTCCATACAAGGCGTGGATTTTCTAAGGAATAATATTTCAGGGTCCATACAAGGCGTGGATTTTCTAAGGAATAATATTTCAGGGTCCATACAAGGCGTGGATTTTCTAAGGAATAATATTTCAGGGTCCATACAAGGCGTGGATTTTCTAAGGAATAATATTTCAGGGTCCATACAAGGCGTGGATTTTCTAAGGAATAATATTTCAGGGTCCATACAAGGCGTGGATTTTCTAAGGAATAATATTTCAGGGTCCATACAAGGCGTGGATCTTGTAAGGAATATTTTTGTAAGGTCTGGATTTTCTAAGGAATAATATTTCAGGGTCCATACAAGGCGTGGATTTTCTGAGGAATATTTTTGTAAGGCCTGGATTTTCTAAGGAATATTTTTGTAAGGCCTGGATTTTCTAAGGAATAATTTTTCAATGCCCAGACAAGGCGTGGATTTTCTAAGGAATAATTTTTTAAGACCTATATAAGGCGTGGATTTTATAGGAAATAATTTTTTAAGGCCTATATATGGCGTGGATTTTCTAAGGAATATTTTTTTAAGGCCTATATAAGGCGTGGATTTTCTACGGAATAATTTTCAAGGCCTATATAAATTATATTTTTAGCAAATAACTTCCATTTCATCCCTCATATATGATGACCCCTCGACATGACTGTGAAAGCATTTCTTTTGTTTTGAGTTATCAGTCGCATTCGATAAAATCAAATGGAGACCACAATCAGAGTGATGCATTAAAGAGGTGAATGTGTGCGCGCGTGTGTGTATTTTGTGAAATATACAAATTGCAATTTAGCTGTATCGAGCGATGCGATGCGGAGCTACAAACAGTTGTCGCTCGCCGAACATTGTGATGGTGCGAAAAAATGCTGCAGGGGTTAGATGATGTTTTCTTGATACACCATCATTCAGATTTCCTCAACCTCTTTCTCTCTATCTCCCTCCCACATAAGAGAGGGACTAGGAACCCTCTCTTATGTCCCGAACTTTTATTCCCAGATATATCAGAACATTGTTCTGCAACGAACACTTGTTGTGATGATGATATGCACGGTGGTTTCTTGTTCGTATGTCCGTCTGTCTGCCTTTTCCCATTGTAAATATATCGTCACATTGTCATGGGGGGTTCTCGAGTTTCTTTCACTTTTCTTTTCCTTTGTTTTGTTTTTCACTTCAATTACAAATTGCAGTTGCAAGCGAATGCAATAAAATGCATTTGTCTATGGTTACTTTTTACTTGAATTCGTTGCATGCCACAGATGTGGTGGCGGTAACTCGCAGACATTGTGGTGGCAGCATGCGCATCTTTTGCATTTCAAAGAGTATACCATTTCTCGCCGCTGATGCATTTGTTAGTAGCAATCTAAATTTGTAAGAGAAACCGAACTTTAAAAAATCAACGCCTTGTATAGGCCCAGGAAAAAATATTTTTTAAAAAATCCACGCCTTATATAGGCCCAGGAAAAATATTCTTTAAAAATCCGAATAAAAAATATTCGGTTATTGTACAGCACAAGAATTTAATGCTGTTTGCACTTCATGCTGCATTTTGTTGCAACTGCAGACTGTCAGCCATATTGGCCACAAAAATTTGCAACAATCTTGTGTTTGCTGTACCTGTTTTTCTCACACGATTAAAATGCATCCTCAGGCCATTGCAGTGGGTGGATGGGTATGAGGTATGTCTGTTGTTCCTGAAGTACATCAGTCAATTTATTTAAAAGCAAAAACCTCGATGCGGTTCTTAAAAGTGAGACATTTTAGCAAAGTAATGACTGAAGTAAATTAAACATAGAAAGTGGGTAGATGCCAGGATACTAGAAGTTTCTTTACTATGCATTTGTTCTGAAGGCCTTTTCTGGTGGTTTTTTAAAAATTATTTTTTCATGGTCTCAACAAGGCGTGGATTTTTTAAAAATATTTTTTCTGGGCCTATCCCAGTTGTGGATTTTTAAAATTATTTTTTCAAAGGCCTATCCCAGGCGTGGATTTTTTAAAGACATTTTTTTCAAAGCTTATATAAGCTACATAAGGCGCGGATTTTTTTAAGAGTATTTTTTCAAGGCCTACATAAGGGTGGCGTAGGGGATGATAGATACCAAGCAATGGTTCTAATTGGCTTCAACATGTCGAAGGCTTATCTTGGTCTCTCATTCATCTCAATTGTGGACACTGACCTCCCCGCGGTGAGCTAATATGTGCGGCGAGTTCATCCATAAGGGCTAAGGCGTCGGGTTAGTTGCCCACACTCGGAAAACCCCTCATACTATGAAAAAGCAAATAATAAAAAAACAAACCCCCCTAATGTTGACAACCCCCGCAAACGTATAAAGGACCATGATCTGCGAATGTGCACTTGGAATGTGCGCACGTTGTACAGACAAGGTGATGTTTTCGCTTTGGAGGATGTACTCAAGAAGTACAAAGCCAATATTATTGCCTGGCTAGCTGTCATGAAACGAGACATGAATTTGGCTGCTTATTTATGGTTAACAGGAGAATAAAAGATCTCGTCTCCAAATTCACTCCAGTAGATGAGCGAATTGCTATAATCCGCATAAAAGCGAAGTTCTTCTACATCAGTTTTATTTGCGCCCATGCTCCGCCCGAAGAGAAAGATGAGCAGACCAAAGACATATTTTATGAGCGCCTAGCATACAGCATGGTTCCCGTAGAAGGGGAAGGCCACGAATCATATGGAAAGACCAAGTAGAAAACAACATCTTGGAACATGGTCTTCCAAATTGGCACAAGACCGGCGCGCTTGGAAATCTTTTTTAAGCTCGGATTATGGAACAACCGTTCTGTAACAAGCCAGCTAAGTAAGTAAGTAATATACGGCGTGGATTTTTTAAAGGATATTTTTTCAAGGGACCACAACAAGTCGTGGATTTTTTAAAGGATATTTTTTCAAGGGACTACAACAAGGCGTGGATTTTTTTAAAGATTTTTTTTCAAGGTTCCAAATAAGGCGTGGATTTTTTAAAGATTTTTTTTCAAGGTTCCAAATAAGGCGTGGATTTTTTAAAAAATAGTTTTTCGAGGTTCCAAATAAGGCGTGGATTTTTTAAAGACTTTTTTTAAGGTTCCAAATAAGGCGTGGATTTTTTAAAGATTTTTTTTTTTAAGGTTCCAAATAAGGCGTGTATTTTTTAAAGATTTTTTCAAGGTTCCAAATAAGGTGTGGATTTTTCTTTCAAGGTTCCAAATAAAGCGTGGATTTTTTAAAGATTTTTTTTTTCATGGTTCCAAATAAGGCGTGGATTTTTTAAAGATTTTTTTTCATGGTTCCAAATAAGGCGTGGATTTTTTAAAGAATATTTGTTTTCTTTGTAATTCAACTTTTATTTGTATTTTTTTGTATTATTTACATTGCAGATTATCTAGCACTTAATAGAATTACCCTGCCACAAAGTAATTTATTGTTATCACACCAATTGTATTTATTTAATATTTAACTAGTTTTACGCACGCACACATACACACACAGACCTCTGAATAACAATTATAGTCGTATTAATCTGCGATAATAAATTATTGTTTATCCAAAAAAAGATGATACCATAACAAATAATTAAATAATTAAACGAATATATATTGATATTTGTTTTTTACTTACTTGATATTTAATTCCAATTCAAACGATATCCGGTTCGTTTTAGGTGGGTAGATTATTTTTTTGTTTGTTAAATATGGTGAAGTTTGCGCTAGCAAACGCGTTGTGCTACTGCCCTTGGACCATTAAAACGTTCTGTGCTGGACTGTAAAAATGTTTC